GCATGTGTGTTACTGTTACATGAGAAACTATCTGTTCTGTAAGCCTTCACCTGAAGTACAATAAAATATTAAAAAAAAAAAAAAAAAAAATTCTAGTTTAGTTGATCAAGATGAAGGGTTGTTATCCTTGGATTATATGATTACATACTGTATTATTTCAACTAGTTCAGATTAGAAAATTGTAGATTTTAATAGTATGGGAATGTAACTTAGAATTGCTTGTTAAAAGAAAAAGAGCTTCATTGATCTCTAGAATTACCTGATTAACAGTTTTATTTCCTTTTTAGCTCACTCCTTCAAACCAACAGCATAAAACAGATGAAAAGGGCAGGGCTAATTTGGGAGTATTCAGTGTTTCTGCCCCAAGGTAAGAACTGAAAGTTTGATAGTTACTGGTATTATGCACATTGATTTTTCTTATTATTTGCTGAAGTTCAGAGTAATAACTACTCTTGGGTTTAGTATTAGGCAGGAGTTGGAACTGAACCAGGAGTAGAGAGTTTGGAAGAAGAGTCAGATTTTTATTCCTCAGATATGCATGTGCTATATCAAATAACCTTCGTCAGATAGAAAGCAGTATCCCTAACGTATGTGTGGAGAGTTTTCTCTGCTTTTCTACTAAAGAAAGGCTAATTACCAGTTTAGAGAGTAAAGTAAATGGAAACTGGGAAGAGAGCTCAAGGTTTTCTAAATTAAACTTTGTGTAAAGTGTCTCAGAATTTTTAGGTTGTGATTAATGTAATTTGACAACCTCTCCTTTTTTTTTGTTAGGGGAGAACATATTATACAGATTAAAGCCATCCATAACAAGAATACCATTGAAGGACCTGTAATCAAGTTAATGATTCTTCCAGACCCTGAAAAACCCATTCGTCTCAATGTTAAATATGACAAAGATGCTTCCTTTTTAGCAGGGGGACTTTTCACTGGTGAGTAATTTACAGTATTTAAATGAATGTGTAGTGATAATTTGCTTGTTATTTTAGTGGCATAAATTATGTATCCTAGGTGTTCAGCATGGTAAAAATCATGCATGCTATAGTCTAGATGGCAGAGAAAACACATCTGGCTTAGCTGTGTCTCCTCTCACCCCTCCGTCCTGCTTTCCTTTAATGTCAAGAATGAACTGAATGTGCATACATAAACTTATAGCCTGAGGTCGTTGGTTCAGTTTGGGTTTGTACATTCGCTGAATTGTAAAGTTTTCCATAAGAAATATAAACTGCTAAGTGGGAAGAACTGTGGCATTGTGCTCTACTAAATGGGTTGTGATATTATCTTAAACCATCAGAACCTGAACCTAACTTTTTAACTTAATTTGGATGGCAATACATCATCACATCAGCATTTATGATTAAAGGTAATTGAGAGCAACAAATGTTTACTAAATGCCTGCTATGTTCAGACACTCTACTAGGTTTCAGGTACAGTAATGAAAATGACAGTATTCAGTGAGTTCATTCTAATCTAGGAAACAGTCATGTAAGCAGATCATTTCAGTACAGTGTGGCAGTGCTAAGTCAATAGGAAGATAGTGTTTGCTCTTAAAAAAAACCAAACCCACTGCCCTCGAGTCGATTCCAACTCATAGTGACCCTATAGGACAGAGTAGAATTGCCCCATAGAGTTTCCAAGGCCGTAATCTTTACGGAAGCAAACTGCCACATCTTTCTCCTGCGGAGCAGCTAGTGGGTTCAAACCATTGACCTTTTGGTTTGTAACCGAGTGCTTAACCACTGTGCAACCAGGGCTCCTTAGTGTTTGCTGTACACAGGTAATTTTCTGGAAGATTTGTTCCTTGGAAGGATTACTTCCTGTACATATTTTTAAGGAGTGAAAAAAACACACCAAAAAGCTTAGTTTTTTTTAATAATTAATTTTTAATAAATATAAGTTACATATATACATAGCTTCTACAATCACACAGTTTTTAATTTGGAAATTTAAGAACTATTTCCTGTGAGTAAAAAACTATTATAGGTGCCAAATGAGTGTTATAGATGGTAAATATAATGGAAACATTTTATTTAGCAGTACTTTAGCTACTGTATGCTATTGAAATTCTTAAAAGAAAGTAAACATTCTGTTTTTGGAATACATAAAGCATATGGTTCAGAGATCAGTTAGCCTAACTCTCAGATGCTAAGCATTCACCGTCTAGCCTTTCTGTCTTGCATGCTTGAACTTACAGCATGACAGACTGAAAAGAAGGGAATGTTAGCATCAAAGATGTATTTGTTAGATTTTTAGGGAGAACTTGATGTCCAGATCTAGCAGTAGAGTTATTTGTCATGATTAGTAAGTTTTATAGACAAATTGTTGGGGAATGCTGGTTAAATAATGGCTTTATTTTCTTCCTCAGCAGAATTTTATTACTAACGTTTAAACAAGATGTGTGCTTTAAGGCATACATTTATTTAACTGTATCCATTAATCAAATTAGAGAGAAAATAATTTTTTTAATGTTTACCATGACAGATTTTATGATTAGTGTTATTTCTGAAGATGACAGTGTCATTAAAAATATTAATCCAGCACGTATTTCCATGAAAATGTGGAAGCTGCCTAGCCCTGGGAACCGGCCACCAGCAAATGTGAGTCCAGGAAAGCATTTTCAGATGTTAAAATTAGCTCTTAAAGTTTAACTTTAAATGTAATTTAATGTAAGAATACAGTGTGTATATTTGAGAACTAGAAATTAATCCACTCCATTCTTTGTGATTGTTTTTTAATACATTACCATACGTTTCAAAATTAAGTGTTAATGCTCCTGAAAAAGAGTAGCCTGCATTGTGATTTTTCTTCACTTTTTAAGATACTAAAGGACAGCAGCACAAGGCAGAATGCCACTAAATACCACCAAAGGAAACTATAGAAAATGAGATGCACAAAGAGATGTGGTTGATAGATTCCAGGGCTAGAATGGTTTGAGGGTCTGAAGCAGCACTGTCCAGTGGAAATACGATGTGAGCTACACGTGATATTTAAATTTTCTCGTGGCCACATTAAAAAAGTAAAAAGAAATAGATAAAATTAATTTTAATATATTTTAACTAATATATAGGAAATATTTCCATGGTAACATATGTTCAGTATTAAAAATCATTGAGATTTTACATTCTTTTTCTTACCATGTCTTCAAAATTTGGTGTGTACTTTATGTTTACACCACATCTCAGTTCATACCGGCTACATTTCAAGTGCTCAGCAGCCTCATGTAGCTCCTGGTTACCATACTAGACAGCATAGATGCAAAATAAATCTAAAATTGGAAACTAAATCTTAAACTTTAGGGGATCCTGATTTAATAATCTGTTTCAACGTTTAGGTTCATTTTAATCATTTGTTTAGGAAACTGTTGTTGTGTGTCATTCTGACATGCAGTGACCCTGCGTGACAGAGTAGAACTGCCCTATAGGGCTTCCTAGGCTGTGATCTTTAAGGGAGCAGATCGCTGAGTCTTTTCTCCTGTGGAGTGCCTGGTGGGCTCAAATAGCTAACCTTTTGGTTAGCAGCCAAGAGCTTTAACCATTGCACCACCAGGGCTCCTTTTTAGGAAACTAGTTGCTTAATGTAGACCATCAATCTGATCAAGCTGCTATTTATTACCTTCAAATTTATTGCTGCTGTAGAGATCCATTGTGTGCCCTTTAATAATGGGATGTTTTTATACTGTTGCCTAATCTCACTATTATGTCTAATCTCATTATTGTGTCTGATGTGCATTGTAGAGAAACATACATATTCTTATAAATCCAGATGTGATCTGGATTCACATTCAGTTCAGGTATATAAGAGGTTTTCATCCTAAATATACTATGTTAAATGTTTGTAACTTCCCCTACACCTTGTCTTCTACTCCCCTTTCTAGGCAGAAACATTTAGTTGTAATAAAATAAAAGACAATGACAAGGAAGATGGCTGCTTCTATTTCAGGTATTTCTCAGATAATTTCATATTTTTATCCATGTTTTGTTGCAAAGTAATTCAACCTTGGTTTTTTTTTGGGAAGTTTTTTGGGAAAAGATGTGTTTTAAGTTTTGTAAAATGGTTTAGAGGAAGATTACTATCATGGATGGATTAGCTTTCAATAGCGTAAAACAGAGCTGTCAGAAAAAACTTTACGTTGTCACACAGCACTGTATAATCCTTTACTACGTAGAGGTTTCTGTAATTAATTTCTTTAACTTAAGATATCATGAAGTAATAAAGAAGGTTGGACTAGCTTTTTTACTGTTCAACTGTGTGACTTTGAGCATGTTGCTCCTTCATTCTGGACCTGCATTTTAAAATCTGAAAAATGGTTTGGAATTAATTATTTCTAAAGTTTATTTTTAAAATTCTTTGAATTTTCATCAGCAGAGCCACAGTGCTGAGTGTATGACTTCAGTGCCTTTTCAGACTGTGCTGAAGGACCACTTTTTGGTTTTTAAGATTTCCAATCTATTATAGACTGATGAGTTTTGTAAAACAGGCCCACTGACTGTCAGAATGCTATAATTGCAATGTCAGATTGCTATGTATGTTTGCAAGTGCTCTGACTTTTGTAATTACCTTGTAACACATTGGTAACAAAATGTTCAGACCAGCACCTGTCCTGGGACCACACTTTGAGTAACATTGCCTCAAGCCTTTTAGGTATGCCAGAGTTGTTGCATGGAGCTGATGTAAACAGCCCTAAAGGGCATAACCTGAAAACCAAACCAGTTGCCGTCAAGTCGATTCCAACTCACAGTGACCCAATAAAACAGAGTAGAACTGCCCCATAGGGTTTCCAAAGAGCAGCTGGTGGACTCGAACTGCCGACCTTTTGGTTAGCTGCCATAGCTCTTAACCACTGCGCTACCAAGGCTCCTAAAAGGGCATACTACCTTTTTTTTCAGTCATTAAATTATCTTTCAGTGTATGAAATCTAAGTGTGGACTATTTCATCATATTCTAAAATATTCACATTTTGTTTTAATCTAATCTTATTTTAACAGTCTAGGGTATCAGTTTGAAGGAACCTTTCAGGGAATCTTTTAAAAATAATCACACACGTTTTGGAACTAGTAGAAGTGGCGATTGCACAAGAATATAAATGTACTAAGTGCCACTGAATGGTATACTTTAAAATGGTTAATTTTATTTTAATGAATTTTGCCTCATTAAAAAAAAATTGCACACACCGTCACAAACTCCATTTTCCTTTTCCAACTTAACGTACCTTTGTTGTTGTGTATGTTAAACCTATCAAGGCATTACTGTTGTTTTATATAGTTAGTGTTTGTTGACATTTACTCACTCATGTACCCTTTCTGTTAACCTTCAACTCAGGACTTTTACTTGGGATCGTTTTCCATCTAAGGAAGTTTCTTTAGTATTTCTTTTCCTATATGTCCTGCTGGTGATGAATCATCTCATTATTTTTACCTGAAATATTTTTACACCACCTGTGTACTTAAAGAATATTTTCATTGTGTCTGCTATTCTAGATTGGCCGTTTCTTTCTTACACTACTTTGAAGCCATCCTTCACCATCCTGGCACTTCTGTTAAGTACGATGCTAGTCTTATTGTGGTTCTCTTGAAAAGTAATCATTTTACCCCCTCCTTTGATTTCTTTCAGTTTTGTTTTCACCTGTCTTACTATGATATGCCTAGGTGGGGATTTCTTTTCATTTTATTTATCCTGCTTTGTGTTCAAAGGCATTGATTTTGTGGTCCTTGTTCGATTTTGAAAAAGTCTCAGCCATTATGCCTTCCAGTATTGTGTCTGCCTCATTCTTTCCCTCTTCTGGCATCTTAATACCACACCCATTAGTCCTTCTAGCAGTATGCTCTATCGCTTACCTGTCTTCTCTATGTGCTTTTTTTTTTATTATTATTATTATTGTACTTTAGATGAAGTTTTACAGAACAAATTAGTTTCTCATTGAACAATTAGTACACATATTGTTTTGTGGATTGGTTGCCAGCCCCACGACATGTCAACACTGTGCACGTCTCGACCTTGGGTTCCCTATTACCAGCTTTCCTGTCCCCTCCTGTCTTCTAGTCATTGCCCCTGGGCTGATGTGCCCATTTGGTCTCATTTTGTTTTATGGGCCTGTCTAATCTTTGGCTGAAGGGTGAACCTCAGGAATGACTTCATTACTGAATTAAGAGGGTGTCCGGGGACCATACTCTTGGGGTTTGTCCAGTCTCTGTCAGACCAGTAAGTCTGGTCTTTTTTGTTTTTTTTTTTTTTTTTTGGTGAGTTAGAATTTTGTTCTACATTTTTCTCCAGCTCTGTCTGGGACCCTCTGTTATCCCTGTCAGAGCAGTAGGTGGGGGTAGCTGGGCACCATCTAGTTGTGCTGTACTCAGTCTGGTGGAGGCTGTAGTACTTGTGGTCCATTAGTCCTTTGGTAGACTAATCTTTCCCTTGTGTCTTTGGTTTTCTTCGTTCTCCCTTGCAGCAGATGGAGTGAGACCAGTGGAGTATCTTAGATGGCTGCTCACAAGCTTTTAAGACCCTTCTATTTGCCATTCTTTTGCCTCTTTCATTCTACATATTTTCTTCTGAACTATCTTCAGTTCACTGATTCTCTCTATTCAGCGACAACTAATTTGCTGTTAAATCCATCTTTTGAGTTCTTAATTTCTGTTTGGTATTTTCAGTTCTAGAATCTTTTTTTTTTTTTTTTTTTTTTGAGGTATAGTTCTGTCTGGAATTCTCAGTTTTGTCTCTTATCACCTGACTAGTAAGCAGTTTATTGAAATCTGTGCCTAGAGTTCCCTTTGGGTCTGTTCGATTTTCTTGTTTCTGTTAGTTTTCATCCTAGTTCTCTTGCCTCTTCATATATTTTTTATTATGCCAGACATTTTGTTTATGAATATTTATAGAAATTATTTGAGGTCTAGGATGCTGTCTTTGTTCAGATAGGGTGTACGTTTGCATCTGCCATTTGCCTGGACTACCAGCAGTCTGGAATCACCTCAGTCCAGATTCAGGGATTGAGATGAGTCAAAGCTGAGTTGTGTTCCCCTTGAGCCTGTCTGCTTTAGGTCCACCTGTACCAAGGAGTAAAGCAGCCTTAACATGAAACTCACTTCCCTGGGTGTCTATCCTATTTTGGACCCTGGCTGAGTTATTTTTCACCAGCTTGTTAGCCCTCAGACATCATCAAGCAAATGTTTATATAGTTGTCTTCATCAGGAAGGATTGGTCTGCCATTTGGAAGCAGAATTCTTATTTAATTTTTACTGTAACTTTATGAGAAATTATCCTCTTGGAGAAAATGTGGCTTAGAGAAAGGTTATTTTTCTTCAGGGTCACATACATGTTATAGTGCTGGGATTTCAATTCCAGTGTGTATACAAAGCCTGTGTTCTTTTTACTACATTTTGCCAGTTTTTTTGGGACTATGAATGACATACAAAAGCCACCTTAGGGATCATGAGCACATATCAGACAAGATATGCTATAGAATGTCATTCATATTTTCACTGTGGTTAAGTGTAACCAAAACAGGCTAGTCAGTGTATCTCTTATTAGGTACTGAGTTCTTTATTGACAATTAAATCGTAATAAGTGCCTTTTATATAATAAAGTCAAATACTTAGAATAGTCGTTGAATGGAAAACGAAATGAAAATTAAAAGATCAGCAGGATGTCCTATAATGTTGAAATATTAAACTGTCAGTTGGAAATTTATAATTTAGAAGTAAAGCAAAATTCACTTGACATGTAATTCAGAATTTTTTGTATTTACCATTTTCTCAACTTTATATTCCTATTCTTTGCATTTTACCATATCCAGAGCCTTTGTTCTGGATGTTTTCTGAAAGGATGTACAGGTAAGAGGGACCTGGGATTAAGCCTGACACGCAGGAAATGTTTTTTGAATGATTGAAGCTGGATGTAGTAATAGTAATTCTCTTCTTACGCATCTACTTTTTGTGGAAGGAACATAAATGTGAATGCTTTGAATTCTTTGTTCCTTTATTTAAAAACTGTCAACAGTCTTATCATTTTCTTTTTAATTTAGGGATAAAGTAATTCCTCACAAAGTGGGAACGTATTGTATCCAGTTTGGTTTTATGATGGATAAAGCATATACTCTCAGTAGTGAACAGGTTTGCTAATTCTCTTTATATACCACAGTTAACTTTACATTTTTATGAATACTTACAGAATGAAATGTTTTGTTTAAAAGTGAATTGATTATTGGATGCAAAGTATAAATAATACAATTGTCAGGAAAATTAGAAAAATATATTTAAATTATGTTCAATAATTTGACCTGATGAAGAAATCTCTTTCCCTTCTCTCTTTTTATTGAAGACTCAGTTAGTAAGTATGTTGGTACATGTCATAACAACCATACATGAAAATTTTTAAATTAACATTTCAGGTATTAGAATTCTGGGTAGTGAAGTTTAAGGTAGTTTTCTCTGAACAGTTACCTGTATTTTTAAAGTCTCTAAATTTGTTCTTAATGGTTATAAACATTAAAAAATTAATCTGAGGCATTTTTTGTCCTGAATTTTTCAAATAAATTGATGCTTTTAAGAGATTAATTGAAATAAAACTTAGATGGTAAAATTTCATTTCATTTAGTATATGCCATCAGTTTTTCTCTTGCTCTTAAGGTAGTCCCTGATTTACGATGTACTCAAGTTACAACAAACTGCACTTAGGACTGTCGGATTTTTTTTTTGTACATTTTATCATTAGTAATATATATGCATGTATTAAAATATATCTGTAAGTTTATGTGTAATATTTCCAACCCCCAAAGACAAAGATCGGATTTATAAAGTTACTGATAATAAAAGGCAATAATGATGAAAACTAACCAAAAAAAGAAGCTATTTGACTTATGTCAGAACCAACTTACGATGGAGTCATTGGAATGGAACCTCCTCGTACGTCAGGGACTACCTGTACTAAAGTATCAATATTTTGTTAATCAGAATACTCCTTCTGTTTTGTAAGGTGATAGTTGATGTTCTTCCTAACCAACCTGTGAAGTTAGTTCCTGAAATCCAACCAGCTACACCAGCTGTTTCTAATGTTCGCTCAGTTGTCAGTAGGACCTTGGTCAGAGATTTACATCTCAATATCACGGTATTGTTTATTTTCTTCCAAAACTATAAGGATAACAAGAAAAATTATTATTTAGAATTTTGGTATGCAAAATAATTATTATAGAGTAGATCTTGATTAGTCAATTTAAGGTTATAAAGCAAATATGTGCAGATTAATTAAATATTTACAAAATTCAAATTCTTTATATTTGAATATGAGTATAGGATGTATAAGATTATACATAAAATAAATCGAGATGTACTAAGAAGAACTAACTCAAAATACAGAAATACGTCAGCCCCTCCTAATACATACTTTTACTTCCCTACTTCATGGGTATATTGTCAGTGTGTGTGGACTAAATTGATTCCTCAATGTCCAGTTCACTGAGGGGACAGAAGAAGGTCATTAAGTATTTTTTTTAGGAGATCTGCTCTGATGACTGATCATAGTTAGGGAAGAAAATCAGAGCTCCTCAAGGCTGCTGATTACCTGGAAGGTAAGCAGCAATAGAGCTGCTGAGAATATTAAGAAAAACATGTAAGACACAGTAGTAGGACTTTACCTTTGTGGAAAAGTTGCCTGGTGGGATACTTTAACTCCTTTCAAACAACTTATTTTCCTGTTATAGACAAGTGTTAGACAAGTGAGTGGTTCTTCTCTTCCCTAGACCTCTTACTGGGGTAAAACAGTCTGCCATATATGTACCAAACATTGTCTGAAGAGTACAGGATATTTCACACGTATAGGTACTGTTGCTTTTCAAATGTATACAGATGCTATTGAAGTTAATAAAATAATTTAAAAGCATTATAAATTCATAATCTTTTTGTTGTTGTTTTTCACATCGATAGATGTTAAAAGCACATAATAAGATGAAATTTGAAAATGAGAGTCCTTGTAATTTAGACAGTTAAGAGCCATTGTATTAGATATAAGTCTTGGGTTCTCTTATGCTTTTTGAGACTTTTTCCTGCCTGTGGAGCACTTAGTCTTAGAACTGAATTCTGTGCTTGGATTAAGAAGGGTCAAGATATTTTAATGTTTGGGATTTACATAGTCTCTGGGTTTAATCTTCTAAATAGTTGTTTTCCATTATTTACTTTAAGGACGAATACAGCAATCATACTGGAATTGATTTGGTTGGCACAGTAATAGCTACTATTAAAGGTTCCAGTGAGGAGGATACAGATGTACCACTTTTTATCGGGAAAGTTAAAACACTTGAATTTCCCTTTGTGAATGGTTCGGCTGAAATCACGGTAAATTTATACCTTTTGGTAGATAGATTTCTATGGTATTTTAACCCACCATATTGAGATGTTCTTTTGTATGTATAGCTATGAAATATTCTAATTATAGCAGTAAATTAGAAAGTCAGCTGAAATGTATTGTGATGTTGCAAATTAAACTCATGTTCATTATTGCCTTTAGCAAGGTCCCCTTTTTCCCAATGAGTGCTAAGCAGCTTTTTCTGATTCTAGTGATTTATGAGCTTCAGTGACAATATGATATTTATGTTTCATTGAAAATCTGCCATTTGGTGGATAGAAACATCAAGCCTAGCCCAGGTAAAACATACATTTATCTGCAGAAATTTAATAAAGTCCTTTGTCTTTGTTATTCTTGTTTTTTCAAAATGGAAGTAGTTTTACTTGTATAAAAAAGTACAGTGCAAGAACTTCCAAAATAATCACTATACTACTCCTTAGAGATAAGCATGATTATCAACTTAGTCTGTAACCTTCCAGACTTTTCTTTATATGTACTAACACTTCATGTATACCTGTGTGTGTATGATTTATATGCATATGATTTATATGCATGTTATGTGTGTAAAATTTCATTAGTTTCATTAATAAAACTATACTGTTTTAAAAACTTCTTGTCTTGCTTAACATGTCTTGAGTATATTTCTTCATCAGTAAATATAAGCCTACATCATTGTATTAACAGCCACAATTTATTTGATCAACTCTTCTCAAAATTTAGTTTCTTTTCAAAGTTTGTTTCTATCAACAGTACTTCTATGAGCCTTCTTCTGTGTACATTCATACATAGATCTGTTGTTTTTTTTTTTAAGAAATTGGTAGAAGTAGAATTGCTTGGACACAGGGCATGCACATTTTAAAGCTTTTAATCATTATTGCCAATTGCTCTTCAGTTTATATTCCTACCAGAAATATGTGTCCATCCTCATAATGTTACCAATATTGGATATTAACAGTTTTTAACATTCTAACCAACTTCCTATGCTTTAAAAAGTATTTTCTTACTAGTAAGGTTGAACATTTTTCATGTTTTTTATCTTTGTAAGTTTGTTGGCTTTTTTTTTTAAGTGTTCATCATTTTCTTCTTTATATATTAAAGATATTAATACTTGTTTGTATATAAATATTCTGAGCTTATTTTTTAGACTTTTAGCTTTGTTTATATTGGCAGAAGGATTATATTTACAGTGCTACCTCTAGTATTCTTTATGCTTTTAGTCTTTGTCTAGATTTTATTTTGGCTTTTTTTTCCAAATTCATTTGAAATGAGTTATATATATGTTTATTTCTTGGTATCAGTTATTGAATACTTCTTCCTTTACCAACAAATTTGAAATGGCCTCTTTCCTTGTCTTTTGTTGTTGTCACGGTTCATCTTCATATCTAACCCAGTGCTCACTTCACATGGTTTTCATAACGTTGGGCTGCACACTGGGAGCAGGTGGATGCACCGGCCTGCAGATGTGTCAGTTAGTCTGGCGATAACCCACCACTACAGGATTTTCATTTTAATTAGTTTCTAACATTTAAAGTTCTAGCGTTTTTACATAAAGATCTGTATTGGTAACTTACTTGGGAGAAATCTAAAGCTCTGGCAGCACAGGGCCAAGTTTCTCTTCTGGGCAGCAGTGGTTGGGGGCTGAGCGGGGACTGCTCCTCTCAGATGGTGCCCTATCTTCCAGTAGCCACACCCATGTCACCTCCTTTCATCTTTTGACATTGATGGCAATTGTCAGTTGCCACTTACATTCACATTTGTTTTATTTTTCTTATAATGGAGAGAGTAAAGTGAAGTTTTCTTGTACCCTAACAAAAATTAGCTGATCGAAGTCACATGTGGGGAGAGGGAAGTACAGAAGAGATATGTTTAACATAAAAAAAGATTTCTGTTGGAAGAATACACCTGGCCCACTTTATATATTTATTTCCTTGCCCCCCTTTCCATAGGCATTTCAAACTGCTAACCCTGCTGTACACATTTTTGAGGTTAGGACAGTGACTTAAGCTATTTTTAGCAGCCATATATAGAATCTAAGCTCCATTTTATGCATATGAATTTCCTCTAACCACTAGAGGTCCCTAATAACACACTGAAGAAGCCTAAAACTCCCAAATCCTACTTGGCTCCTGCCCTACATATTGGGGTGAGGCTCTGGAATTTGATTTTTAACAAGCAATTAGGTGATTCTTAAAGTTTAGGGAAGCTTAGGAAAGAGTAGGAATTCCAGAACACTTAATTGTACCCATGAGGAACCTGTACATAGATCAAGAGGCATGTGTTCGAACAGAACAAGGGGATACTTAGTGGTTTAAAATCAGAAAAGATGTGTGTCAGGGTTGTCTCCTTTCACCGTATTTATTCAGTCTGTATGCTGAGCAAATAATCCAAGAAGCCGGACTTCATGAAGAAGAGCGGGGCATCAGGATTGGAGGAAGACTCATTTACTACCTGCGATATGCAGATGACACAACCTTGCTGAAAGTGAAGAGGATTGAAGTACTTACTGATGAAGATCAAAGACTACAGCCTTCAGTATGGATTGCATCTCAACATAAAGAAAAATCCTCACGGCTGGACCAAGAAGTGACATCATGATAAACAGAGAAAAGATTGAAGTTGTCAAGGATTTCATTTACGTGGGTCTACGATCAACGCCCATGGAAGCAGCAGTCAAGAAATCAGATGACATATTGCATTGGGCAAATCTGCTGCAAGAGACCTCTTTAAAGTGTTAAAAAGCAAAGATGTCACTTTGAGGACTAAGGTGCGCCTGACCCAAGGCATGGTATTTTCAGTCACCTCATATGCATTCAAAAGCTGGACAATGAATAAGGAAGACCGAAGAATCAACACCTTTGAATTATGGTGTTGGCGAAGAATATTGAATATACCGTGGACTGCCAGAAGAACAAACAAATCTGTCTTGTAAGAAGTACAGCTAGAATGTTCTTTAGAAGCGAGGATGGCGAGACTTCGTCTCATGCACTTTGGACATGTTATCAGGAGGGACCAGTTCCTGGAGAAGGACATCATGCTTGGTAAAGGGTCAGTGAAAAAGAGGAAGACCCTCAAGGAAGTGGATTGCAACAGTGGGCTTGAGCATAACGATTGTGAGGATGGCACAGGACCAGGCAGCATTTCATTCTGTTGTACATAGGGTCGCTATGAATGGGAATGGACTCAATGGCACCCAACGACATGCAACAGTGACCCAGAACACAGCTAATGTTTGCAAGGATTAAAAATTATAAAATGCTGGGGTAGGAAAGGCTTCCTTAAGCAAGACACAAAGGAAAAAACTTTATATTTAACCGCATTAAAAGTTAAAACTTTATGTACCAGAAAGTTATATACCATAAACATATCTTAAACAGAATTGAAGGAGCAATTAAAGTGTGTTGATAATTGTTGACACTGAGTGATGGGTCATGGAGATTCATTATGATTCTATAATTTTAAAAAAAAAGGTACTTTTTTAGAGGTGATTGGAGAAATATTTCAATATTTGTAATAGAGGATTAATTGTATTGATCATATTTTCAAACCTAAAGAACATCCTGCTAGTCAATGATATGAGCAGACAGTTAATAGCAGAGAAAGTACAAATGACTGATGAACATCATAAGCATAACCTCAATACCAAGTAGAGAAATGCTGGTTGAAACAATGACTTGCTGTTTTTTAGTTCATCTCTTTACCAGAAAATACATGATTGATATTAATTGTTAGCCAGCATCAAGGGAATAGGGCACTTTCGTACATTGCTGATGAGAGGATAAATTGATACGGCTTCTGAAAGGAAATTTGATACTACTTATTAAAATAAACTTTTCACTAGTCGTGTTTCTCATTATCCATCATTGAAAACACATTTACAAAGAAGCTTTCAAAGATTTTTTTTTTTGCTGTATTATAAACAATTGTTTTAAAACATTTTAAACAACCTAAATATCCTTCACCCAATGAGTGTATATTATTGTGTAGTGCATAAATTTTTCAGATTGTTTCCTATATATATTCACATAGATTGATCAATGAATTGAGTGCTATAAAAGCAAGTTACTTCTTGCTGAGTATAAAGGGTATGCTATTTTTAAAATGCAAACAGTATTCTATTTTATATGTGTTTACATTGACGTAAATATATTGAAAGTTATTTTTAGAGACTAAATGGGATTAAATGGTTAAATGGGGGCTTTTGTTCTGTTTTCTTTGGGAAAAATTGTTAGCTGTAATTTGTAATTTTATTATTTTACCGTGTCTGTCAATTTAGAATTTTTTAATTTTACTTTGCTATAAATTGTTTCACTGTAGTCTAAAAAACAAAATAGCTAGAATCTGTTGTTTCCAGTAGAACTGTGAATAAAATCATTTGGGATATAAGTATTTATATTTCCATCATTTACTAGTTATATGTTATGGTCTTAAACTAAGGTATATCAAAAGTTTTTTGGTGTGTTAATGAAGAAAATACAATTCTTTAGAAACAGATTTTTAGAGCCTTTCAGGACCTCTTGCTCTGTCACCAGGGACTTGGTGGGTCGACTTCCTTGGCAACAGGTGTAACTTAAACTCAGCAGTGGGCTTTAGGCATTTCTTGGTCGTTAGTGATGTAACTTCTGGACCATCAGCTATTTCATACTGCTTCAGCTTCAAGGTTGGGAAGCAAGAAGATTTTGTAGCTCTAGTGGATATAAGTGGCCATTAATACTTCTGGTTCCAAAGAAGAGATACTTTTTATTGTAATTTTCCATTATATATCATTTTTGCACAAGCTGTTTATTGATAAGATCATTTGACATTCAGAATAACAACAAAAGGTAAAAAAGTTGTATTTTATGTCTCAGGTGGTGGTGGGGGAGTTGTTTTAATGAATGTTTAATGAATCTTAAGGGTCAATGAGCTTTGCCTTTAAAACTTCCCACTTATTTGAGGATAGAGCACAATGAGATATGTAACACTTGTACAGTGAAAAAATGACTTTTTAAATGTGGTTTTTTAATTTGTACAGAGCCTAGTGCTGGCAGAAAATAGTCCTGGAAGGGATAGCACTGAATATTTTATTATATTTGAGCCTCAGCTACCAGCTTTATCAAGAACATTAGAACCATATATCCTACAATTTATGTTTTACAATGGTAAGTTTTTATAGACAGATTTAGAAAAATCTATTATTAAATTCTGTGGTGTTACTTTAGATGATCTTGTTTTGCTTTCTGTTAACATGGTGTTTATTAGCTAATCATGTTATATTTTGGAAAAGTCACAATTTTTAAATTGTTTAAACTCTCTGAATTTTTTTCTTAGATGTTAAGAAGCAACAACAAATGGCAGCACTTACAAAAGAGAAGGACCAATTATCTAAGTCTATTATTATGTACAGAAGTTTATTTGAAGCCAGCAAACAGCTTCTTGATGAAATGAAGTGTAAGTCATTCTGTATCCAAAGACAGTAAAAGATTATGGGTTGGATGGTGAGGCGGAAGGTTGAGATTGACACATATTTAGAAACTGCTCTTTATCTACTTTCCTAGACTCCAAATTAACTGCAAACACTGCCGAAAGGTAGTAATGATGGTTTATATTATTTGTCATTTGATAATTTTAAAGATGACATACTCCTTTATTTTAACTGCATTTTTATCTTGCTTACCTATAAAAATGTGAGGTTTTCTGTTATTTAGAAATCTGACTTTGTGGAATATTTAGGTTTTTAAAGGCTTTCAAAATCATGGTAACAATATTTATATCTAACTCCGGTTTGTGGCAAAAGCAACTGAATGAAAGTATCACTAAGGGAGTGATGTGTAATTTAATTTTACTTTGGGTCATGAGGTGTATGTATTTTACTTAAAATATTTGCAATATGTCCTGCCATGGAGGTGTTCAGGTCAGCACCCACTGATACAGAAGTATATCACTTATTTTTGAAGTCAGTACGCATAATGTTTTGCTGCAGTTTTTAATAATGTTTGTATACAGTTAACACAAAACATTTGCTGAATTGTGCTCTGACATCTCTTCATTTGTTGGTTTTTTTCATTTTGTATTAATTACACAGCTAAAGTTTTAGTCATTTTAGCAGCATATAAAGTCCTCACTTTTGTATATCTGTCCAAGGTCAAGGGCATTTAGAAGATTAGTAGGGGCTAAATAGTGTGATGAGGCATTATTTGAATAACAACTGAAAATTGTTTTTTTAAAGTGTTATTTGGTTCTGAGACCAATCGAATACAGTTATATTTGTATATCATTGTGTGGATTATAATAGAATAGTAATATCCACCTTAGCTGCATTATGTTTTGCTTCTCTTTTTTGTATATTAGAATTGAACATTAATTTTAGATTTTTAGTTTAATTTTGAATTTCTAAAATAGTCAACTATCATTTTAACATGAAGCATTAAAAGAAAAAACAGAAGGGAATAAAAATTAAATATTTGCCATCAGAACTTGATGGTTGTTTTTTGTTTTGTGTTTTAGGCCAAGTTGAAGAAGCAAAATTAAAAGAGGCTCAACTGCGGAATGAACTAAAAGCACATAATATTGACATTCCTGCAACACAGCAGGTACAGTTTCCAAGTATACATGAAAGATTTCTTCTTTATTGAATTCTAGTCAGTAACTTTTTTTTATAATTCATGTTTTATTAGGAATTATGGACACCATTGGTTTTGGGTACAAAGATATTTGGGTTATAGTCCAGTCACTTACTAGACAGTAAAAGGGTTAACAAAATTATAGACTGCTCTTTTCAAAAAATTGCAGTTTGTATTTTTAATGTAATGACACTAATAAATGCAGTTAATAATACTCCAACTTGAATACTGCACTGAAGAGCCCAAAAGTAAAAACTGGTATATATCGTGGCAAAGAAGATAAGGTAATGAACCAAAAGGCAATATAGATGTTCTTTAGCTTACATTGTTTTTTATATGTGTAACTTGGTTTCAAAGAAAAATCCCATTATAGGTAGTATTTCTTAGCCTAGGTAAAAAATTCAGTGAGGTGGAAGCTTTATATTACTATAACAATAGTCTTTTTAAATAATATCTAGTTATTGTTAACTTTATGTTCTTGAGTTTTCCAAATTACTTATTTTCCTCAGCTGTCATTATGGGCTGCCTGGTACAAGAGTAATTGGTTTTATAATTAATTTTTCTTTATAAATTACAGATGACACATATTGAAGCACTTTTGAAAAGAAAGGTAACAGAACAGGAAGAGCTAAAGAAAAAACCTAGAAGATCGTGTACTCTTCCAAATTATACCAAAGGCAGTGCAGATGTTTTGGGAAAGGTTTGTGTTTGAGCATTTTAAGAAGCAGTACATTTTATTATTTTATTTTGTTTGTATAAACCCTGCATTGTTTAGAAGTGGCATTATA